GATAATTTACTCTTTTCGGTTTTACTAATATAAAAACGCTTTCAGCTGAGTTTTTTAGTCGTAACAAGAGATAAGCCTACTCGAGGATCTCTAAAATTCTCGGAAATCAAAGGCCATAGACATCAGCCTTCATTACGTCTTTCCCTGAAGATATTCAATAAGTGATAGTTGATTGAATGTAATTACTTGTATATGTAGTTATTTTTAAAAACATGACTAAGCCAACCAATTTTAATGCATATCCGAATACTTGCTTCCAGCATACTATTACAATATTCGTAATGATATTTTATTTTAAAGAAAAATGTCCAGATTAAAAGAATAATTTCGGCACAAACCCCTAAGCTTAACATTGGAGATGGGCGCTATCGTAAGCACATAGTTACAGCGTATCAAAGTAACTTTGAGGGCACTTTTCACAGACGATGCCGGCCAAACGTTTGGAAATGTACAAAGTCAACGGTCCAATGCTGGATATCAGGAATACTATGGCAGAAGCCACAGGACTAGGTATATTCCACAAGGTCTGCCTGATGCTCCGACAAAGTTGCGAAAACAATGTCGAACCAACACTATAAAGCTAAAGTAGACTGCGACCAAACAGAAGGCCACACCGTCTTGGTCTTTATATCTACGAAAAAAGAAGTATAGTTGATTAACTTGTATTTTATAAACTTTATCTTTTTATCAAGGGCCCTTAGAATATAGAACTTTGATTCTGCTATCGTTGTCATTCCCTCATACAGTCATTGGCATCATAATCAGCCTCGACACAGAACCTCAACTCGTCAAAAGTAACAATTTAACGAAACATTGTGAAACGTAATTAGTACATGATTCAATATTGGAGGAGGAAATGACAACAATGACAACAATGACAAAAAATGCAATAAATAAAACTTTCCTCGAAATATTCCTGTAAGCATATCTAATTTACGATACTGAGATTTAACCGGAAAAAATGAATTTCGCTGAACCAATCAGCCTCAAAATATGAGATTAACGTTTAAAATCGGTAGTTGCTTGGTTTATATTTTACCTTCGCTTATATTATATTTTCTTGCAATTAGGATCAACCTCGATATCAACTCCTTCCTCTCCGACATCTGACTTTAGCTTTAAGATTGACTTGGACTTTACCTCTACAGCCACCCATTTGGCTCCGGAAAGAGGTAAAGCTCCCAGAGAATCGAGTTTCCAAGATCTGGCTGGAACCAAATTCTCCAGCTCCTTGTTCCGGGTAGAATCTTGCCTCGACCCTGTTCCCGAGCCGGAAATCAACGCAGCCGAGCCGAATTCCGCCATTTCTTTCTGCAGTTCAAGTGAAAAGCGATGCATTTCTAAAGTGAGTATATTTAATCCAAATTCTAATAAACTATCTGCTGGAATCACTTCTCGTAGGAGTCAAAAGAAATTTTATATAGTTCACGGTAATAGGTTGCATCCTTAGCTCGTGCATAAGTCAAAAAAAGCTTCTTTTATCCTACATAAAATAATCCATGTGTCCAATTTTATTTTTGATTATAATAAATATTTCAAATTCTATGACCGAGCAGTATAGTGCTTTTAGGGATCGCTTACAAGGCATTCGTTCATTGAGAAAGTTCAAGCTAGTTTATGTTCTCAAGTATCTATTTTAGTAAAAGGGATTAATAAATTTGAGTAGTATTAGTTAAATTTGTATGATTTAGCTGATTACACTTTTATTCAAGAGTAAAGATACAACCAATAAAACACTTATGGATAGTGGGTGAAATGGTAGTTCCATGAAAGATATGTATGGAAGAGAAACTCGTCAATTTGGATATAAACCGA